TCGCAAACATTGCACTCTGCATCTTCGGCGCTGTGAGCTTCGATTCTGAGCTTCGATGTGTAGGAGTAGTCTTTATTTGTCCTCCCCCACGATGGCGGGGGGGGTGTGAGGAGGGGAGAAGGATTAGCCAATCATTTTTAATTGATCACTTGGTCAGTAAGAAACAAGAATAGAACACGATAATTGAATCAGACTCAATTAGGTAAATAACTTAAAGGGAGTGACCGGGCTCATAATTGCGACCTTCACGGAGAGAAATATTCAATATTATGTATCTTTTCCGTAATTTTGGAGCAAAATGTGGTTGTAGGAAATTTTACGGAACTGTCACGGAATTTTTCCGGAGCGTTCCGTAATATTTTTATCTGAATCTCCTGTGAAAAATTACGATACCGTCACTTAAATTTTTTGAGTTGATTCCGTAATCGGTGAGTGAATTGTGAGTTCCGTAATTTTTACTGAACATTTCTCTCCGTCTTTGTGGAATTCATATCAGCTGGGTCCATGTCGCAAAGTCTGAGTAATGCAAAATGCTGGTGAGGCTTGATACTTTAAGAACAAGTGCTTTACTACACATTGAATTTATATGAACATTTCATAAGTGAAATTTAAACAACTGTTTTTAGAAGGAAAAGCCTAGAATGGGACGCCCCGTACATCTACATGAGCTTCCATGTACTTAATATAAGTGTGATGGCTCAAAGAAGCTAAATTCAGTTATAGCAACCAGATTCCGACCTAAATTATGTTGATATACTTCAAGACTAATATATAAACTGTAATATTTACCTATCAGTAGATCTGAAAAATTGGAGTTGTTACACTATCTAATTACTAATAAGTTCAATAAAAATCCGATAGAATTGACTAGCGAACTCCCATTAAATAATTTGTGAAAGTAGGAACTCACTCTGAATATTCCAACATAAATTTCCGGTTAAATGAAAATGAAATAACTTTCCAAAGAGAATTTGCAAAGAAATTTCAGATTTCCTAAACAATTTATCGTGAATATTCAGTAGTTCATGGGAAATATGGAGCTATTCAGCTTGTTAATAATTTTAAGTCAAAATCAGTGAATCCATAGCGTTGGCTGGAATTAAAATAATATGTTATTGGAAAATTCAGCCGGAAACACGTTAAAAAAACTCCCAGAAAAACCCAGGTCACTCGCTATGAAATTGTATTGGATTCTATTGGACCTCTATTCAAAGTTTATTAGTTTTCCATCGATTTTTTGGATAGAATTTTTTAATGAAAAATATTTTGTAACAATTTTTAAGGTTTTTCCATAACTCATTCATTTGAAATTCTTTCTAAGGAAAAAGAAGACATAAAATTTTGGAAAATTTATGTCATGGAATTTTCATAGAAGATATCTGAATGGACTAAGTTGGATTGAAAGAGAAAAATCTATTCAATTTTTTTATCAATCATTTCTTATCAAATTAATACTTCGATTTTTCGCGTATAATATCAGTACAAAAGAATTCTGGCACCACATTATTCTGAAGTATTCTATTTATTCATCAATTCGACAGATACCTTCTGTAGATAATTATATACAAATGTTTACACCCTGTGTGTTAAAATCCACCTGTACAATAAAGCGGTTAGCTCATACTAGCATTCATATCGTGGGCAACGATTACCATACTGCAATATAATTTAAACAATTTTCCTCGTAATCAAATATAGGCCGTATTTCACTTGTAATTAAAGCAATGTAATTAGGTTCATTCATTAAATAAAATCAGATTAATAATTAATTACTCCTCTGGTTTAAACATACAACTGCTGAATTCAAAGCAGACTTGTACAAATATATTCTATGTCTTTCACACAATTCACTATTCTCGATTACACGCCTCAATTATATCCGTAGGGATCAAAAATACATTTCCAATAGCATATAATACTGCAAACAATTAACGATAATTCCAACCAAACGAGAATGTGGGGCAGAGTGATTGAATATATTTTTTAAATTTTTATTTGTATCTTTCCACAATAACACAAGTGGGAAATCGCTTTTATAGTATTATTAAGTATAGTTATTTTTGCTAATAAATTAGCAATATGCTTCCGAATGGTTACTTTGAACATCATTTCCTTCTATCATCTATAATTCATTGTTTATTTCATTGGATTAAATTTAATAAAATTTCTTTTCAACTAATTTTGTCAGATTTTCAACTTGGATGTTATCATTCTCATTATTTTTATTATGTCTTTCTTCTATATAACCGATTGTCTTTTTACGGTTCTATTTCTCCCCTCAGCCCTTCGACAAAATGTTAACAGAAAAATTTTATTTACACATACTTGAATGACTTTGAAACATCACATTTGAAGAAACCATAAGAAAGCTTACTTTCAGGGAAATTTATGAAAAATTCAAAATCTTCAACAATCATCATAAGAATCAATTCAGCCAATACAGCTGTCGTAATCATCTTTTAAATTCGACTTAATGGCATTCAAACAAATATTTCAAGCTATGATTGAACTCATTTGAAGCATAATATTCAGAGATATCCCCGGAATTCTAACTTTCAAAAAAATGATGTTTTTAGCAAATTTTCAAATCATAATAACCATTATTGCTATTGCCTTCATCTATGAATTCGGTCAAACGGACATCCAAACATATTTTTCAAGCCATCATTCAATCAATTCAGAACTTTTTTTTTAGTTATCGTGAAATAACATAAAACTTATGCTGGAAGGTACACCCAACCTAAATCGTCAATACTATTTAATTCACTTTAATTTCCCTTAACAAGCAGTTGGTAGAAGATATCAAAATTTTTGAGAACTTTTTCCGGTTGACTGAAATGTGAGTTGCTACAGCGAAAAGAAAAACGGACATTTCCTGTATATAATATGTTTTCCTGTATATAATATGTTTTCCTCTGGCAATAATTCTCATACGCATTAAAATTTCTCAAAGCTACAGTATTTAATTCAATGACACCAGTAATATTTTCTGTGGTACCGATGATAACTCATAGATTTAGTGTAAAAATCAAAATCCCGTTCATTGTCCCGTGCTGCACGAGAAGTTCTCCCAAGGTATTCATGTGAACAATTATCAAATATCCAAGTGAATCATTTTTCTGGGTGCAGAAATTGTTCTCTGCGTAAATTAAACGGAAATTAATTAATCAGAATTTTAAAGGATGCGTCAGAAATCTCTCCCCCTCACTATGGTTGTCCGCAGCCTGAGAAGATATTGCGAGGAGAATCGGAAAGATGTGGATGAAGGTACTATACTGTGAACTCTAGATAATATGATTGGTAATGAAAACAATTAATATACAAGAATGAATATGAGAATTTCAGAGTATCAAAATTGCATCCTTCAATTGCAGATACGATGCAGGCGATAAATCCATTCATGCCGCAAATGCCGGAAGATGTCCATAAAGAATGCAGGAAGGACTTCGACAAAGGAATCAAAGACAGATTCCAGGATGGGGAAATGAGGAAATTCCATTTTCCCTACTGACCTTCCCTTTTCCTCATCCGGGGATTGGTATTGGCCCTTTCCCAAACTCGTAAAAGTTAAAATCACTAGGGACAAATATCGCTCACGACTACTGCAATGGGTTTTTTTTACTCGCGTAGTTGGCCAGTCCTCGCCTTCGGTTCGGACGTCAACTCTACGCGAGTAAAAAACCCCATGACACTCGTCCTGAAATATACTATTCCAAATTTACTCGATAATTCTTACACATTACTAGTTGCATTATTTGAAAAACCTGTGAATGAATAAAGTACTAATTTTAGTATACATATTCGTAGTATCTACATGCATCTCTTTTTGACTCAGAGCTCTACGCTCTTTTGTTGGCGAAGAAGGGTGCTTTCATAAGTGCAAATTCCGAAAACCCAAATCACCGGAAGCATGCAGTTATGGAAATTCCACTGTAATTGGAGTTTGAATGTATTAACGAAAGGTGTCTTCGTATTATAAAGTGTATGAAAAATTCCGCCAAAAGTAAACCTTCAAATTTATTTCAGCTTTTAAAATATTTTCTAATGGTTTAATATCAATATTCATATTCAGACCTACAAAGTTTAAATAATAAAATCATTGTAAAATGTCCGGAAACTTAGGGTCAAATGGGGCTCAAATGAAAGCTCTGATGTTTGAATACAAAAGTATAAAAGCATTTCACTGAGGAAAAAATAGCCAACTTGGATATTCTTAACATGTGGTATTCCCTTTCCTTTCCTTGCATTCCCATTTCCCCTAATCCCGTCTGTACAACAATTGCACGAAAATTCTATCTACATCAACCGGAACCCGCCGGGTTTTAAGGAGTTTGTGAGTTTCTAAGCAATTTGTGAATTTTCAATGCTGATACTCCTTAAAATTTCCGTGGAGTTGTCACTCGATAATAATTTCAAAGGAGTGTAGCGTTTTAAATGAAAAACAAGAAGATATTCAACCTTCTAATGAAATAGATTTATACAATAGGTTAAATATCTCTTAAACTGCTCCGTCGATTGAGCCCATCTAAAATACCAACCTTTAGTATTATAAGAGCTAGCATCATACCAAATTTCGGCTTGTTATCTCCATTTCTTCTCAAGCTATCATGTGTTCAAAATTTTTCATTGAAAAACAGAAGAAACGCACTATCGAGACGAGTATTTTGGAAAAAGAAAAGTTGGAGTCGGTGGAGTAGTTTTTGGAATATTGAAGAAAAATGAAATCTAAACAAATTGTTACATTTCCGGGACTACTGGACCGATCGGCTGAAACAGCGCACCATGGTTGAGCTCAATCATAGCTACAATGAACCACAACTTCAGATTTTTATCAACAAATTTCACCGTATTTATGTTGAATTTTCTAAAAATCAATCGCCAAAATCCCATGTTGTCACATACACACATACAGACATGACCCTAAAAACATCATTTATTCGCGTTTCATAACATTCTGGACCATTTGCAATCAAAATTAGAAAATCGAAAAATCGGTCAAATACAAAGTTGCCATTCGGAAGCGAAAATACTATCTCTTCGTTTCTTTCTATTTATTTTTATGTTCACTCTTTCGACTCGAACCCACTGTGAAAAAATAGATTGTTTAGAATTTAGTAGTCACAAAGTTTCGTATAAACCTGCAATCAGACAATCTCAGTCACTTTAAATTGTATCGTAGTTACTCAAAGTTTACTCCCCTTCATGTTTGAAATGTTTACCGATCGATAAATGGTGTGAGAAAGTTCAGCCTACGGTATTCGCCAAAGGTTTTTTCCTCTAAGAAAATTTTATCATGTCGATGGAGGGGATTGGTCACAAAGTTTTTCCATGATAACGAAAGAATAAATCATACAATTCTATTCCATACAGTTTTCCAAAATAAAATTATTATGTTTCTGCAAGTTCTTTTAGGTTATTAGCCTATGCAAGATATGTTGATCTATTAGATATCTAACAATGCGAGAATAAATCTCAAACAGCATTTTGCGAAAGTCTGTGTTCCGCAGTGATAGCCCTGAAAGCATAGTCGACAAAAAAAAGCTGAACAATTAATAGAGTCCGATTGACTTTTGTGCGTTCTTGTTGAACTCGAAGTCTATTATTATCCGCACTCCGTCTTTCAATCCACCGTGAACGATTCTACACCCCGTAATTGAATTAAATCAACTCAAAAAGGTATCGAAGCCCCAACACCGTCCAATACTTTGTCCTCTGATCCTGTAGTCCAGACAGATTGATCAATATCGGATGGTATATGACATAAACCAGAAGTGCTGGTGGCTGTACTTTGCCTCTTTGATTTGTTCCCTCGATTTTTCAATGCCCTCCTGGGCCACGTACGATACGAATCCTGCTCGCAACGTTTTAATAAACAGCAACGCATGATTGGCTTCTCTGCAGTAGAATGCGAATGTCCATGACAGCAATAATGCTGGAGCACAATCATGGTCGACCTGAACTCCTCGGGCGGTTTTAAAATTGGTAGATCGTTCAGCAAATCATTAGACGGTTGATGAATATGCCCAGGACGGAATGCGTTTGGACACGTGGATCAGGACGATGAGATTCCAAGGGTCGATGAATTTGATATATCATCCAGTGAACTTTGTGTACCAACACTGACCATAATTGGATTTGAAGTATTGCTAATCTCATTGTCATCACTCTTTTGACGGGGATGGCGTCTTTTGTACGGCTCCCAACCCCCTGGTTCCCGTTGTCAGTGTGTAGCAATGACATCAGGAGCACTCTTGGTGCTCTCTATGCTGAAAGGCCTTTTTTGGTCAACCTCGATAATTGCTTCGGCACGATAACGCGGATCTGAGGCTTGACATCTCGGAGTGCCTGAGTGTTGTGAACTATTTGTATTAGTATTACTGGTAGTATTGGTTGAACTACGCTCTGATCCGTATAAAAAACTTCCGTACTTCTCACCAGAACCAATTGTCCTCTGTTTAACAATAGCCGGTTGATAGAATTTGGCATCTCTCTCGGGTTTTGGGCTTTGATATCTCTGATAAGTGAGATACTCAGGGTCTTCTGGATGAGTTGGAATGACGGCTGCATATGGTGGATCGTGGATGGACCATCCAGGTGGGGCTGGTATTGGTGCGTGTCTTGGGCAGATTGTTCCACTTGTATCCCTGCCTCTTGATGCTGGACTGCAGCTAGAGCACACCGACGAGTGCTTTGAGGTGCTTCCATGATTGTGTTTTGGGGAATTGTATGTCTGACTACGAGAAGATTGCCTGATGCTCGGATGTACACCGTTACGAGAACCACTAACACTACTGTAGCCAAATGTTGAAAAGACCGGGGATGGGGCTGCTGGCTCAGGTATACGAGGGTCAAAAAGACTCTCGCGTGTTTGACATGAACTGTCACACATCTGCGGCTCTTCTGAGGTTTCCTGCAGGCGTTCTTGCGTTGCGTTACTCACGTTGTTACTTTGATGTATGTCAATTATGTCCTTTGTATTGTATGTCATCTCGAGAACAAGGTCCTTGGTATACTCATGGGCTATTATTGTCGCTGTCGGTATCAACTCTTTGTTGGAATCAATTTCAAGACTCGGTGAGTCACTGCCATGCTGACGAAGATCCGTCTGTGATACGGAAATCGGACAAGGAGTTGACTTTCGTCCAATCTCATCCAAACGATTCTCTCGTGACTGCCTTATGTGTTCCTGCAACACAATTTACCAGAGTGTGAGACAAGTCCTTTATACTGTGTAACGACTTTCATCTCTCTTGGGTGAAATATTCAATTAAATTGTCAGGAAAACAACCCTGGTAGGAGTTTCCTTGTTTCTTTTTTCTTTTGTCCAGAATCAGATGGCTGATTTTATATTTTTGCAAGCTTTAAAAAGTTGACGGCACATCGTAAAGAATAAACTGTCGTTAAGATTTTATTGGTATCCGAGTTATTGATTTTGTAGTAAAGGAAAAAATCTTCATAAAGCTCAGATTGCATACATCTAGGGGGATCTGAAGGTTTCACAGGGCTTTCATGGAAAGAATATAATTCAATTTCTTGAGGTGTGAATAACGAGAATTACTCACCCGTATTATGCGATGATCGCGAATGAGCTTTCTAATGCAGTTGAAGAGGAAGACGAATGTCAGGCCGAACATTATCAGACCGAATATCACGAGGATTATTACGATGCGGGTGGAGTCTAGTGCGAGAGATTTTCCTTTCTGTAATAGAGAGGATTATGGTTTACTTGTTTTTTCCATCTTGCTGTGCTGCATAGTAAAATTTTCATTTGGGAAAATTTTTGAATATATATGTCTTAAAATGGTTTTTGTTTTTTTATAAATATCTTTTATTCGCATGTATTCGCGTGTATTTTTTTATATTGAGACATTTTTTATAAGAAGTCTTCAACATGCACGCAGAACACACTAATCATGAATTACGTTTTAGTAAACGCAATTTACGCTTAACGTGAATATGATGTCTGGTAGCTTTTTTTCCATTATGAAAATCGGAATTTAGGCTTTAAAAAGGGATGTTTTGCGGTCAAAATAACCATATAAATTACGTCTAAACACAGCGTCTTTTATGTGTCATTAAGTGTATTTCACGCTTGAGAAATCGTAAATTACGGTCTTAATAGAAACGTATTTTACGATGTACTTGTGCGTAATTTACTCAAGAAACCATTGTGTTTACGCTTGAAATGACTTTTTTTTATTTCAAATCATCATTCATTTTAAGGGTATCAAGTTTAAAAAAAAGGTCAGAATATAAGGGTCAAAATATAAACGTTAGGCAATGAGAGTCAACAGGTAAGGGTAAGAATATAAGTGGAAAAAGATGAGAATCATGCAATGCGGGCCAAAAATGGAGAGTTAGAATGAGTAGGTGAAAGAATGACGGGATTTGAGGGCCAGGAAAGGTCTTATTTTCCAATCGTCACTTTTTGATCCTTATATCTTGATCGTCATTTTTTCACTCTAACATTCTAACCCTCCTTACACGGAGAAAAAAGTTGTAGAAAAATGACCAAACATCTCAAGTAAACGTCAGGGTGTTTTGTACCGACATTGTAAAATTTACCCTGCATATCTCCTCAAAAATTATCCTAGCAAACGTAAATAATTGCTCCAATTTTTCATAAAATTTTTCCGTAACAAAAAATTATTTTTACCGAACCCGCTTGGTGAAAATTGACTGCCGTCTGTCCCCATGACTTTTAGATGAGAACAAAACGAACAATATTCTACCAGTGTGGAAGATTTTACTAAACAGGAGGATAATTTTTGCAGCCATAGATGTGTTTTTTTACCAAGAAAATCATAAAATATCCACTTAAAAATCGTATTTTTTCACTGAATTACATTTCACTCCACGATTATTATTCGTATAGTAAAATTTGTCACAATTGTCAAGGTAATTTTTATCCAACTTTTCTCGCCATGTATTCGTCCTAAAAATCGTCGTAATTTTATCGGAAATTCATCATTAATTATACATAAGTAAACGTAAAATGAGAAAAAAATCATAATTTACGAATCCGATACCGTAAAGTACGTTTATGCAACCGTAATTCACAGGGAATTTAAGCGTAATTGGCGGATACGAAACAGTAAATTATGTTTATGTTTTTCTGTGTGTCCATTGAACATTTCAGAATTGGCCAGAAACTAATATTAGAAAGTTCAATGGACATTCAATACAATTGTTTAGCGAATTCGCTAGGTTTCTCTCTAAAATTTTTTCGTAAGTGTGACTTTGAGAAATTTCATCAAATGTATGTAATCTCTGTTATGAAAAATGAAGTTCCCAACAACATGAAATAATCAGCTGTATTTGTAAAATCAACTCGAACAATTAATAATTATTTCAATTTTCATCATGCTTTGGTTCACCGAACGCTTTGACTGCATTCTCATAAAAGCGACGACGAGACAAAAAAAGATTCTCCAAATTGTAAATACAGCAAAGCACGAACAGTCGGTTTATTAATATTTTCCGAGTTGCCTTGGGCTAAATTCAATAATATGAAAATATTGATCAGAACCTGCTGTTAAGGGGGGACCCCGGTGAAAATTGTCCCAGTGAACGTGAATAATTGCTCCAATTTTTCGTATAATTTTTTTGTAGCGAAGAATGATTTTTACCGAACTCGTTTGGTAAAAATTCACTTCCGTCCATCCCGATGATGACTCTGAGATTTCCGGAAAAAATTCGAAATGACTTAATTTATTGCATTCTTATAAGTTATTGAGTTTTTCTATCCTCATACGTTGTTGATAAAGGCAACAATAACTGTTTGAATCAAATGAGAAATTATTCATTAATTAATTGTTTGAATCAAAAGAGAAATTATTTCACGAAATTTCCATCTTTTAAAGTTCAATATCACAGAAATTAGGTATTAAATAAAATTTTACAAAAAATTCACGGTATTCGGAATTTAGCCATCGGCCACGCATTCTTTTTTTAAGAATATCGTAAGAACTGTTTTCTCATATGATGAAAAAATCGAGTTCGGGAGAGTCCATAACTACCGTTTGGCCTATGTCTTGCGTGCTATTTTTTTTACCAACACCGGGGATCGGACCGAGGACCCTCTGATTGCGAATTTACTCAATAGTAATAGGCTATCGCGGTATTACTATTGAGTAAACCGTACATTGCCTATATAATTTGTATCGGGGTATTCGTTGAATCTACGATTATTCATGATCTCGCGGATTTACAGGTGTATTCTCAGAGATAAAATATGTTTAATTAAATTTTTATTTATTTCATTGATGAATGATAATAATGATAATAATAATAACACTAATAAATAAATAGACATTTGGTGAATTTTTTTCTCCAGATCATTTGCGTGTAAGTTCGATACTCCTATAATATGTATGTACAGCACCATCATCCCTCCCCTACGTACATTTGAAAGGGGCTGTCTGTTAATTAAATTGATTAATTTAATTTAATTCATTAAATTGATTCCATTTAATTTAATTTCATTATAGTATAATGATCCTTTTTTAGATTGAAAATAATTATTGATAATGGTTGATAAAACTTAATTTGAATAGTATAATAATAGTTGATTAAATTATCCGGAAAAACTTATGACCTAAAATTAAGGTCAGGTGGACCGGATATGAATCTGATCATTTTCTCTTCAATTGACTCCGTTCAAATGACAAGCAAATGCATCACATCCGAATTTGATCAAATTGGGGTCAGGCAGACTAACCTCAGGGTGAGATCATGCTTACCTGATCAGAACTTGATCTGACAAGGAACACTTGGGAGGTGTTCCCCTCCGATTTCGATGAAACTCATATATGTTGTAGAGGACTCGAAACTAAGCGACATGTATTTTTTTTATCGGCGGATACACAGTTTTAAGGGGGGAAACCATGGTCAGAAGGTGACCACTTTTGGGGGTGATTTTTCCATTCCGCCTATAAGAAGGGAATTTTCGTAAATGTTCATTATGGAAATAAATAGCTCGTGAGGAATTATGAAAATCACAATTGATAGTTCCTCCGGGGGTTGAAATTTGGAGGGTAAACTACCCCTGTAAAGACTTCATTAAAAAAAAAAAAAACTATGATTCAGAATTTTATGAAACCAACTGCGTTGGATGGAACATGGAAAAATGCGGAATGCCTGTTTTTGGTTTTTCCCCAGAACTGGAGTTTTCTAGGGTGAAAAAAATAATTTCCTGGCAACATCATCCACCAAGGTGGTGGGGTTATTTATTCATTTCATTGAGGTAATATATATGAGAAATCGTGAGAATATCCAATAATAGTTCCTCTCGGGGTTGAAGTTGACGGGGTAATTACCCCCGCGAAATAATATTTTTTTATCAAACAACTATTGGCTTTCACGGAAATGATTGCATCGGAAGAGATATGAAATAATACGGTATCCCTTTTTATGAAAGAATAAAATTGGATTCCAGATATCCCAAGCCTCAATTTTGATTTCAATAATCCGCACGTGAAAATGATATTTTTCCAAAATTCGGCGATAAACGAATAACGATAAAAATAGATCAAAGAAAAGATTCTCTGGAACAAAATTTCCTTTTTCTTCAGGTACAGCAACAGGGTGGTTATATTTAAAGAAAAAGCAGTGACGAGTACGAAAAAAAATTTGCTAAATAATCGGAATTTTTCCATATCGTTCAACGAATGATTGAACTTGTTTTTTTCATATGTCGCAGGAACCGGGGTAATGGTTCTAAGAGACTTCATTATTATAGTATATATGTGATGATAACACACTGCTGAAAGCGATAATAAATCCAAACAAAATGCAAATAGCCGTGCACGCGTCACCTATATCCAAAAATAGGTAATCCATCATGCAGTAATCATGTATTATTGATAACCCTGAATATTATTCACTTCCATTTTGCGCAGCGTTCAGTTTACGTAAACACATCACGGCAAAACTGTCTCTTGTTAATCGTATATTCCGAATTCTTTCCATCATGAGATTCAATCCTATAAACGTTATTAAGATCCTCATGGCAACATTTGAAGTGCTGAATCTTGGCGAAACCCCTGTGACTAATGAAGAACGAGAATTGGCAACTCATTTCGAGAATATATTACAACGAACTATAGAGGAATATAATGGGGTGGAAATTATTGAAGAATCAACTCTTGATTTCCAAGAGCCATACAAAGACATCGAAATGATAGCAATTGAGGATACAGAATTCCAATCACATCATAAAAAATCATCTGATAGTTGTTCAGAGGATGACGAACTTGTAGATTATGACTATAAAAAAAGAGCAGTCGAATACTGGAGGAGTGCAAAAACAAAGAAAAATCTGTCTATAAAAACTGTTTCCAATAAATTCAAAAAAGTGAAATCGGTCCAGCAATTACGTCGTTGGGCACATCAAGTCAATAAAGGAGGAACTTATATGGAAAAGTTCAAACGAATATCAGAGTATACGTTGAAAAATATGAAATATGCTATCGATGCGGGGGTAATTGTTCATGATGCCGACCTACGAAGATGGGCTCTGCAAGCTCAACGAGATATTGGATATCAAGATATTCGTTTCAAGGCCTCGGCATGGTGGCTACATTACTTCAAAAGAGCTCATCGCATCACATCTCGCAAGATTACTAAATTCGTCACACGTAAAACAATGGAAAATCAAAAAGATTTACAAAAAACAGCGGACGAATTCCTGCAACAGATC